TAATTTTTTCATGTTCTATGTTTAACTATGTGATCTTAAATTCTGAAGTGTAGCAGCTAAGAATAGTTAATACAGAGCAGTTGCTGAGGCATAGTATAGGGGTTAAAATGTAGTTTCTGTTTGTACAGTCCCAGCTCTGTAGCTCTCTAACTGAATGATCCTTGCAATATTACAGATTTATCTTTGCCTCAATGACCTCATCTATAGAAAGGTGACAGATATGATGCCCAAGTTGCTATGAAGATTAAATGAATTAATGACCCCCAAACACTTAAGGCCTTGTTACACTATGTAATACATGAATGTTAGCCATTCATATTACTACTATTTGATGGATTCAGATCTTGCAAGTGCATAGCTTCCTGTATCTTCCTTTATCACCATGACTATGCAAGGTAGGTACCATTCCTCACTGACTGAGAGAACCAAGGCTCATTCATGGTCACACAGTTAGTAGATGGCTAGGCTGGAACTGGAGCCCAGGACTGTGAGCTTCAACAACTATGCTCCACTACACAGTTCTAGTTCACTTTAAAATAAAGTTGATTCAATGAATGTGTTAGCATAATCTAAATGCAAAATAAAGTTCACCAAAGAGAAAGAAGCATGCCAAGGAGTGACTGAAACAACAACAATAACAACAAAAACTGTTGAGGAAATAATGAAACCTAAAACAGAAGTTTTAATTTTATGCAGTTCCTTACCATGTAATAGCCTGGCAGTAGCTTCTGAAGGAACTCAGCTTCTTTATGCTGAACTGTTTTGATGATAAATTCATCATCACTAGTCACAAAAAACAAGGATCCACTGGCTCCAGGGTTAGACAGCTCTATTAGAGGTTCACTGCAGATGGAATACTAAAACAGTAAAAAAAAAAAAAGTAAATAAATAACATTTAATTAATTGATCAATTTTTCTTGTGTGTGTGTATGTGTGTGTGGTGCTGTGGATTCAACCCATGGCATCATGCAGGCCAGGCAGGTGCTCAGTACCAGCAAGCTACATCCCCAGTCCTAAGTAAACATTTAAAAATATATACTTAAGTATATGATGCTTTCAAGGAGACAATTACAGTATTATGTATCTTTACCTTTTTGAAACAGAAAATTTTCTTCATGAGCTTTAAAAGGAGGCTCCAATTATACTGAGAAGGCTCTTAGGGAGATTTTTTTTCCCATTTTTAAAATTTATTCTTAAGTTTTAGGTAGACACAATATCTTTATTTTACATTTATGTGGTGCTGAGGATCGAACCCAGTGCTGCGTGCATGCTAGGCAATTGCTCTACCACTGAGCCACAACCCCAGCTCCTTTTCCATATTTTTTTACTGGTGCATTATAGTTACACATAATGCTAGGAATTGTTGTTACATATTCATACATATTCATTCATAGTGAATATTCATATTTAATATAATCAATTTTGGTCCATATCATTCCTCAGTTTTTCCCCTCCTGCACTTCCTACCTTCCCTTGGTCCCTTCTCCTCTCCTCTACTGATCTCCCTTCAATTTTCATGAGATCCTCTTCTGGGGAGATTTATAAAGATTTATCGGATGTATTTATTTTAATATTTCTATGATGGGAAACAGACATGCTTTCCCCAACGCCCATCATCACATGGTAGAATCATGAATTAAAACTAGAAATATAGACCAAGGTGCTTTGTTCTCAGCAGGTGCCCATAAAATAACAGCTGAAGGTGTGACCCATACCATGTACTTATCACTTCAACATCAACACCTCTTCTCTTTTCCCTATTCTCTCAGGGTTTCAACAAGGGGATGGCTCCAACATCTGTGTCTCTAGCTCAAGTCTCTCTCCAGGGCTCTAGACCTGTTCATCTAACATTTCAATAGACACTGTGAATCTCACTCCAAAATGCTACAACCCAGCAGAGAAGTCAAGTGGTTACTAAGCTCAGTGTTGGATTGGCTGATAATGCACATTATTGACATAAGAAATACTGCGGTGGGGGGAAAGAAAAAGGAAATGAGGCTCACCCAGGTGTGAAATTGAGACCAACCTGGCAAAATACAGGGACTGAAATTTTGATTGATACAAAGTATATATTTATGTGATTTATATACAATGTGATGTTTCGACAATATATACATTCTAGAATGACCAATCAGGCTAGTTAACATATTTATCACCTTGCATATTTATTGTTTTTTTGTAGTGATAACATTTAAAATCCACATTTGTAGCAATTTAAAAATACACAATGCATCTTTATTAACTATGGTCACCTTACTCTGCAGTAGATTGCCAAATTTTATTCCTGTTGTCAAACTGAAACTATTTCCTTTGACCAACATTCACCCTTTTCCTGCCCACCTGCTCCTGGTAACCATCATTCTATTCTCTGCTTCTGAGTATGACATTTAAAAAATTTCCCTTATAAGTGGATCATGGTCTTTCTGGATCTGGCTTATTTCAGTTAGCATAACATTCATGTAGTTGTAAATGACAGAATTTCATTCTTTTAAAAGGCTGAATAGTACTTTCTGTGTACATACACCACATTTTCTTCTTCCATTCATGCATCATCCTTGGCTGATTCCACATCTTGGCTATTAGTACTGCAAAATGCACATATACTTGCAGACATTGGGATACAGACATATCTTCAAAATACTGATTTCAGTTCCTTTGGGTAGATATCAGTAGTGGGACTGCTGGATCATATGGTAGAACTACCATATTGTTTTCCACAAGGGCTGTGTTAATTTGCATCAGGATACAAGGGTCCTTTTTCTTCCGCATTCTTGTCAATATTTGTTAGCTTTCATCTTTGTGATGATAGCCATTCTAACAGGTGTGAAGTGATATCCTATTCAGGTTTTAATTTGACTAATGACTAGTGACGTTGAGTAGATGTTGAGCATTTTTAATATATCTGGCTATCTATATATCTTTTTTTTTTTTTAGAAATGTTCTTGACCCATTTTTTAATAGGGTAATTAGTTTTCTTATATGAACTACTTTGAGGTCCTTGTATATTTTGGATATGAGCCCCTTATCTGATGTATGATTTGCAAATACTTTCTCTTAATGTGTAGGTGTCTCTTCATTCTACTTTTTTCTTTGCTGTCCACAAGCTTTTCAGCTTTTTGTAGACAAAAATCGCATTTGTCTACTTTTGCTTTTGTTGCCTGGGCTTTGGGGTCATAGCCAAGAAATCATTGTTCAGAACAATGTCAGGGAGCTTCCCACTATGTTTTTTTTTTTTTCCAGAAGTCTTTAATCCATTTTGAATTGATTCTTGTATATGTTGTAAGATAAAGTTCATGAGGTTCTGCATTTTCCCTGAATCATTTAATGAAGAGACTGTTTATTTTCTCCAGTATGTTTTCTTGGCACTTTTGTTGACGATCTACTGACCAGAGAGGTGTGGATTTATTTCTGATCTTCCTATCCTATTCCGTTGTTTAGTACATGTGTTTTTGTTTTTAATCCCACTACTATGATGTTTTGATTACTACAGCTTTGTAATATAAAGAATCATATCTTGAGGGTAGGCAAGGATTTTCCAAGTCTGGAAAATACTTTAAACTATGTATTTTGGGATTGTGAATATTTAAGTCCCCATTCCATAAAAATCTAAAAGGAGAAAGAGTGAGAGGAGCAAGGGGAAGAAAAATCAGGAGAAAAGTGATTAAAAGGCAGTTTCTGTTGGGTGTGATGGTGCACGCCTATAATTCCAGTGATTTGGAAGGCTGGGGCAGGAGGAACGCAAGTTCAAAGCCAGCCTCAGCAACTTAATGAGGCCCTCAGCAACTTAGTGAGACTCTGTCTCAAAATAAAAAGTAAAAAGGTAAAATGCCTTTGGGTTTAGCCCGAATACATATTTTTTTAAAAGGCAGTTTCTAGATGTCATCTTGTATCTTTCTTTGGCAACACCATAGGTAAACAAAAATAAGGTAAACAAAATTTTCCAAAAAAAGAGAAAGAAGCAAGTGTTGGCTGACTTCCTAAATTACTGGCAACTCCTATCCTCTATCTCCCTTCTCCTGTTGACCGTCCTTCCCAGTTTGAATGGACTAACTGGGTGGAGACTATAGTCTGGTGGGGAATGACCAGAGGAGGTGGGTCGCTGGGGAAGTTCTCTGGAAGGGTGAATCTTCCCTGCAGACCTTCCCCTTTCTTTCTCTGCTTCCAGCTCTCCATGAGCAAAGAAGTGCTTCTCTGTCATGCCCTTCTGCCATGATGCCTGCCTCACCTGGGGCCCAGAGCAATGGAGTTGGCCATCTATGGACTGAAACCTCTAAAACCATAAGCTCCAAATAAAAATTTTCTCCTCTACGTTTTTCTTGCTGCGTATTTTGGTCACAGTGATGAAAAAGTGAAAAACAAGGGCGGGGGCATGATATTTGGAATCAACTGTTCTTTGGGAAACTGCGGCTCTGTCAGTTGCAAGTTATGTGATCCTGAAAAAGGAACTTAGCATCTTAAGGATAACTGGGCATCTTAGGAGCCCCAGCTCTAAAATAAAGATAATTATGTCTACCTGCAAGTACCTGACATTTTTTTAGATGAGCGCTTCTAAAATTCTAGGCAAAGCTTCCTCTTTTTATGGCTGTTGTTACTTTTTTAAATTACAAGATCTTACAGAGTTGAGAGGGGCACCCCCCTGCAACAATGCACATATTCCATAGGCAGGATGTGGGGGTGGGGGAAAAACAGGCACCCCTCTAGGAGTACTGAGTTTTTCAGATGAGCTCCCATGGGAAGAGGGTTATTCCAGAGGATGCTAAGATACCTGAAGTGAAGCAAGTAAAAAACTTCTCAGTTTGTCATATAATTATACATGCAAGACCTTGGAAAATAGAGCTGTGGACCCCAAACTTTCATAAAAGGTGAGTGGAGACTCAGGATCGTGTTTAGAATTTTGACCTGCTTCATTTCATGGCATAGAGCCTTCTTAGGGGTAAGAGTAAATGTTGCAAAAGCATAAAATCAACAAAGGATGCAGAAAGTAGAGGTTGCAAATAGAGAAATAACAGGACCAGCTGTGTTAGAAAAATACCAAATGCATATCTAAAGGTCTTTTCCTATTAAAGTCTCCAATTCTATAAACATTGGCATCTCAGAATATTTTAGTTATTCATTGTATTTCTTTATTATGTAATTTATACATGATTATCAATGGAATAAAAATTGTTTTGACTCATTTTGGTAACTTTTTGGGGTTACTAACAGCACAGCATCAATGGGCTATCAACAGGATTGGGGTAATGAACATGACCATCCCACTCTGGAATTCTATGGCTTTTCACTCTGTCACATGGTTACCACATCCTCTTCTAAGCAACCTTGGAAATGCTGCCTTTTGAGAGCAAATAAAGAGGAGAGCTGGCAACATTTTAATTAGCCATGATCAACAAGCTCCCACATGTGCTCCTGGGCTTTATGCACCTTCCAGGCACTTTTTCATTTGTGCAAGCTGCTCAAATGTGCTCATTTTCTTCCTTCTATTTCCTGCAAGGCCTCCATGCTCTACTCACTGGAAAGAAAGCAAAGTACATCCCAGCTGGGCCCTGCCAACGCAAGTTCGCAATGTAAACTTGCACCATGTGGTGGAGATAATTTTACTTGCTATTTCTTTCCCTGATAGTATAAAATATTCACCCTGCTCTCTTTATTACTGGTGGAGGTGAACCCGAAAAGACTCAGATGAGTTACATTTGATTTTTTTTCCCCTTTGTACTGGGAATTGAACCTTGGGCCTTTGCACAGGTTTTTGAGTAGCCATGTATATGGTAGAGAAGGAAAGAACCAATGGCTTTTGATCCAGCAGAAATGGAAATGCCCTACCCCTTGGCCTGGCCCTGGAAATATTTGTCTAGGAAACAACAAGGAAGAAAGGTGTTTGCACTGCTGTATGTGCAGAAGCACCTTTGCCACACTGCCTCATCATCCAAAGAACGCATGTCTCAACACGAAACTTGTTATCGGTAAGATAAATTTTGATATACTGAGAACATAAATAGAATAATTCAGGCAAATAATTCCGATGTGATGGTATGAAACTAAGTAGGAATCCACACATTATCCTAGGTGTTCAATATCAAGTCTATCTGTGGAGTTACCAATTGCTAAATCTCACCCCTCCCATAGTAGTTTATCTTTACAAAAGTAGATTGAATAGCCTCCGTTTGACAGATGCCAGGATGTATGTGGTGATTGGTACCATATCCTTTGTTTCTTTGCAGAGAACTTTGCAAGAGATCTCTTATTTCATTTTTCTTGGCTTTATTTGGAATGAACTCTTCCAAAATCTGCTTTGCTGGAGACGTTGAACCCCTTTGGGCCATGTTCTTCAGAATGGACCATCACAGTGTGATTCACTAGGGAGAGGTGATGTGGAGACCATGCTAGAGAGGTCTGTAGCTTAGAGAGTGGAAAGCGTGAGGCTAGCTTATGAGGGGTTCTCAGAGCACTGTGGGGAGGAAGGGAGACCACCAATGTAGGTAACTGTGGTATCTCGCTTCACTGATCCCCACCTCAGAATCCTCATGTATAAAATGAAGGATTGGGCTGAAATGTCTCAGGGTTATGGCTGACTCTCTGAAACATGCAATGAAGCATGTGTGAGACTCTTTCCTCATCTGCCATATCCATATCACTGGTGTGCTTTGGAGTTGAGTTTCTAGAAGCTCCAAGACTTATTTAGAGAAGCCACCTCAGTCCTGGGGGTGACCGTCCCCAGTGTAAAGGTGGGTGGCTGTAGCTGTTGGGGACCCAGCAGTCATGTTTAGATATGGTCACTACCCTTGTTTGTTTTGTTTTTTTTTCAGGTTCCAGAGAGATGCTCAGCTATAACTGAGAAGAAAGGTAGAGGAAGAAAAATTGGGATCAAACAAATGCACACTTTCCTGCCTGGGTCTATGCCCCTCTTTTTTATTATAGAAAATTCAAACTTACCTGGATATATGATTAATATCTGTGTGTTTACTTCCAGTTTCAATAATGATCAACTCACAGGTAGCATTGTTTCTTTTATATCCCTAACCATTCTTCTGCCTGCTTTCTTCGGATTCTTTTTTTTTTTTTGCTTTCAACTCATGTTTTATAAGTTTTGTTGAGCTTTACGTCACATGCCATGTAATTCATTCATTTAAATGTAAACTGCTTTTAATTAATTTTTTAATTGACCCAAACTGCACATTTTATACATATAAACAACATGAGGTTTATATGAATACATTATGGGATGGCTTAATCAAGTTAATTAATAGCACACATTGTGTGTGTGTGTGTGTGTGTGTGTATTGGGAAAATTTTAAATATATTTTGTTTTAGTAATGTCAAGTGTATAATACAGTGACAATAGTCACCACATAGATCTCCTGACTGAAATTTTACATCTTTAACTAACACTTCAGATTTGTTTGAAACAAATCCCAGACCTCAAATCATTTCATCTATTGGTATTTCAGCATTTTCCTTTAAAAGCAAAGGATCCCCTTTTAAAATAGAGCTATGAAGTACTTTTCTTTGGAGAAATCAGAGAATAGCAACCCTAAAGTTATTTGCCTGCTATTTAAATAAACTGTCCTGAAGTTTCTGGGACCATCCCCAAATATATCATAGTTGTATGTCTTTTTAATAAAGGTGGTTTATTAAGAAAAAAATGGAATCATGATATTACCATTCTACCAAAAAAATTCTTCAACACCATCAAGTATAACTACATTTACTAAATTTCATATAATTTAAGATCAATAAATTTCATATAATTTATTTGAATTGTCTTGCCCCATGTATCAATGTTCCCAACAGAATTACCTTCCAGCGATACCTGTTCATTCAGTGTCCTTCCAAACATGTAAAATATTCACATCTCTGTTTTCACAGACTTATGAACACCTTGTCCTCAACTCCCCAATATCTGTTCTTTCTTTTCCACCTATTCAAATGCCTTGCAATTTTTAAGGCACAGTTATTAAAACCATGTCACACCCCCTAAAGCCTCTTAATCATCACCCCAATAGAGAAAGACCACTTTTTCCTCTGAGGTTTTGGAGTAGTTAATGTTATGTTTCAGTCTTTGAATTTACTGCCTGATAGAGTTGCTTGTTTTTCCACATAAAGAAATTATCATCCCAATTTGATTCTAAGTTCTCTGAGTATTATGACTCACATTTTTTTTTGCATCTTCCTATAACTGTAAGCAAAGTTTAGATACAACCGTGTTCAAAGTACCCAATGATTTCAAAATTTACCTTCTGCCAGGCACATGAACAAGGAATTTTGCTCATCAGTTTAGTCTCCTGTGCTCCTCTATAAATACTTCAACTCTATTATGAAAGTCATTTTTCTGGCTTAAAGACTTATTAGGAAACTTATATAAGCTGTGTGCTAAGTTGTTCAAAAAAGGACCTTCTCCAGGAAAGTGATGTTGTAAGGTCAGAATGAGTGAAAGAATGACCTTCCACCTGCACAGCAATGGACATAGCAGGGCTGAGCACAAGCAGTCGTGTGCTGCACTGACTGGAGCAGGGTGCAGAATGCAAAGTCTACAGTGTGTCTGGCTGGAGAGAAGTTCAAGTAAATTTAGGAGGAGAATACATGCATTTCTAGTGCATGGTACAAGGCGAGAGATTAATCCTGTTTTCCATAATAGAATATCAAAATCCCAGTGTATTCCCCAAACATATTTCCTGAATGATGGTGGCCTAAAGATAATCATCAAATGACCAGACAGCAAAGGATTTTCCCTATCATACCCTACAGAACAAATGGGTGTGTGTGTGTTCTGGAGTTGGTAGCAATGGGCAGGGTATATGACCTTTCAGTGAGATGGGAAGGTGAGGTGGAGAGCAAGCAAAGGCAGCAGGATGCCCAGGGATATCCAATGCAGTCCTCACTGCTCTATAGAGCCTTTTTTTTTCCCCTTTAAAGAAGCAGTATCATCTCACTGAGTAGAAATCCTATGATTTTCTTAGGGATCAACTAAAGAAGAGGATCATGCATGGTTTTCAGTTTTGAATTTTATTCTTTACATCTTTTGCTTATTAAAAGATACATTTTAAATATTCTTTGTTATAAGTGACAAATGCTACTTAATTCCTCCAAAAAATATTATTCCAGGATCTGGTTTAAGTCTTATTAAGATCATTCAGAATGGGATAAAGAATAAAAAATAGTTGGCATCCTTCCTATAGTTTCTTGAAAACCCATCTTAAAGAGCCCAGGGTGTTAACAATGATCAAATAATGAAATAAACCATTTCCTTCTTTCAACAAAAAGGAAGTTCCTGGCTCCTGGATCAGGAGTGGAGTAAAATTCAGAGGTCATATCAGACAAACCTCCCAAACAGGTTCCTGGGTTTGTACCTCCCTTGTCTCAGAAGGAAGACAGACAGAAGAGACAAACCTGAGGACAAAATATGCACTTGTATTTGTATGAATATGTTTAAAGAGTCTGCATGTCAGGCGCAGTGGTGTATACCTATAATCTTAGCGACTTGGGAGGCTGAGGCAGGGGGGATTGCAGGTCCAAAACCAGGCTCAGTAATTTAGCAAGGCCGTAAGCAACTTAGTGAGACTGTCTCAAAATAAACAATAAAATGGGCTGGGGATGTAGCTCAGTGGTTAAATACCCCTGGGTTCAATCCCTAGTACCACCTTCCTGCAAAAACAAACAAACAAACAAAAAAATAAGAAGAGCCTGCACAAAGAAATGTTGAGAAGAAAACTGTCCAGCTTCTTTAAAATGGGATTTGAATTTGCTGGTCAAGGTGAAAGTGGTTGTGGGCTCACAGGCTTGAGATGAATGATATAAATAAAGTCAACTAAAATAGGAAGAGTTTCAAATAGAATCTAATCAGCCAAATTTAAAGGAGCTTTTAAAACTAATTCTAATACACCTATGAGAATAATATTCTGAAGTGATAACTGATATAGCACAGTTATTTAAATATCAGTTACCAAAGCAGATTTTTTAACTATCGGTGAAAAGCTGCAGAGTCAAATCCTATTTCCCAAATTTAAATTTATAAATCATTATAAAACGTGGAATTTTTACCATACCCTTAAGCTTTGTAACATAAGTGGCACCACTTGTCACTGTTGCTATGAGACCAATGTTTACATCATACCTTTCTGTAGGAGGAAGGAAAATTACAGGTTCTTACCAAGTAATCATCAGGCTTGATACCAAAAAGTTCTCTGAAGTATCGGAAGGCCAGTGGAGCATATGTCTTAAATCTGAAGTCTGGGTAGTGATGTGCAGGGGTCAGATTGCTCCCTTCACTAAAGTTAAAAAATATTAAAAAGGAGGCAGAGAGAAAGAACATTAGCAAAATTATTTTGACTTCAAATTTCAGTTCTATTAGTCCTGGGCCAATTTCAACATTAGAAAAGACACCTCTCCTAGTGGTCTCTCAAAGCTATTGTCACAAAGGCCCTCAGGTAGAAACAGATGTCTTCCCTGATCATTCTCCCCCAATCTCATCCCAGGGGAAAGAAAAACAACCCATCTTCCCAGGTGAAACCACATTAGAATGCTTTAATAAGATCCAGGATTAGAGTATGGAGGAATTTCAAAAACTGTTTTTTGGTTTTTTTGTTGGGGGGGGGCATAAATTTTAGACATTGGATAAGCATTTGTAACAAGGAATAAGTGAAATAATTCTTAAAATATCCTACTGACCAGAAAAACTACCACATTGGAAATGAATGGGACCTTAACCTGAACTTTTCCTCATATCCAGGTTTTCCAACAGGAGACTTTAAATATTTTTGGAATTTGAAAACCTGATTTCCATTCCTAAATGGAATTATTTATTTGCTATATCCAGAGAAGCCAGTTTTGCCTTCTGAATGGTTACATTTTCCTTTTCCAGGTATATGTTTGAAATTTTTTTGTATAATACTTATAATATAAAGTGATAAAAAGAATCAATCAGTGATTACCCATGGACCAAAAATTCTTAAGAAAGAAAACAACAGCCTTATGGGTACCATCCCTTTAATACTTTTTACTAATCGTATCCTGATAGCTGGTTTAAAAAGCCAATGAATCACTAAAAATGAGAACAAAACAAAACACTCAAAACCCAAATCAAACTAATTAAATCTAGTTAGCTTTAGGCCACTAGGGTCATAATATATCACCATTTTTTGTTTTTGTTTGTATCTCTTCTAGTAGATTTTGCATTTTGAATCCCACTTTCTTTTGATGGACATTAAGGCTGATTTGCACTCATTTTAGGTCAGACTGAATACTTGGGTTTTCTCTTCTAGAGAGACCTGGGTTCAAGTTCCATCTCTGCCACTTACAAACTATGTTCATGAGGTCTGTACTGAACCTCTGCTAATGAAGTGGCAAAGTGAATGGAAATGTGAATGGTACTGAGCCTGACATGTGGGGAGTCCTCAACACACTTGGGATGTTTGAGGTTGTATGGTAATGAAGAGTTAAACCCTTCATGTGAAGAATGAGTTCCATGTAGTTAAAAAAGAAATGACAAAATGGGAAAAATTTTGCAACTCATATCACAAAGGGTTAATCTTTCAATATAGAGCTCCAGTAAACTGTAAAAAAAAAAAAAGCACCAAAAGTGATTAAAAGAATACCCCAAATATGATCAGGTACTTCATAAAAATGGAGTATATATGACTCAAACATAAAATATTCTTCCTTATTCATAACAGAATAAACATCACTGAGAAGTCACTTAACCCATAAGACTGGTGAAAATCCAAAACCTGGATGTAGTTCCAAGGAAAATGATACCGTGAAATATTATTAGTGGGAATGTAAATTGATACTTATTCTCTAGAGGACATTTTTTACCACTTCTATCAACAAATGCATACCTATAAATGATCCTACAAATTAACTAGTACAGAGCAACACAAATATACACAGTTATTCATTAACAATATTGTTTCTAACTGCAAAAGCTTAGATACTACCTATATCCCCTAAGAGGAGGACTAGCCAAATTAATTATGATTAGTTATAAAACAGAACATCATGCAAGCATTAAAAGATTGAGGATGCTTATTATGTACTGACAAGGCAAAAATCTCTAAGATAAATTGTTAGGTGAAAGTGCATAACATTATATATGACATGTCACCATCTGTATAAAAAGGAATATTTTTAAAAAAATGTTTTTCTTTCAGTTGTAGGTGGACACAATACCTTTATTTTATTTATTTATATGTGGTGCTGAGGATGGAACCCAGGGCCTTGCACATGTTAGGTGAGCACTCTACTTCTGAGTCACAATCCCTCCCCTCCCCCCAAAAGGAATATTCTTTTGGCAAAAACATTCATTAAAAAATCCTTGAAGGAAAATCAAGCCATTAGTAACACTGATAATTGGAGTTGGACACTGGATTGGAAAAAGTACAGGGACAAAAGAACATGTCTTACAATTTTAGTTTTAGAAAGAAGGACCAACCTTCCTGTGTATTATTATTATTCATGAATTAAATAATTTTAAAAGTTAGTCGTTAAGATGGGCATGGTGGTGCATGCCTGTAATCCCAGCAACTCAGGAGGCCAAGGCAGAAGGATTGCAGGTCTAAAGCCAGCCTCAGCAATTTAGTGAGGCCATAAGCAACCTAATGAAATTCTGCCTCAAAAAAAAAAAAAATAAAAAGGGCTGGGGATGTGGCTCGGTGGTTAAGTGCCCCTGGGTTCAATCCCTGGTATAAAAAAAAAAAGTTAAGGTTAAAAGTCATAAGCTTATCCTCCTTTCCCTTAAATAGTCCATGTGCTCAATTCCACAGAGGCTTGTTTACCTCTGCTTCTTCAAATTGCTCCCGATGAATAACAAATGCCAGCTAGACATGAATGAAGCTCGAGTGAAGGAAATGGAAATGAAGAAGGCTGCTGGCACACCTTGGCATGCTGAGGTCACATATTGGCATTTGCTTTGTGTGGATGTAGGTGCCGGCCCACTTAACTGCACAGAATCTTCCAGGTACATGTACCAAGTGCTTAGCAACTTTTGGCCACAGGAGAAAGGCAGGGCAGTCACATGCCATGCTGTCTGCCACAGTGCCCTGCAGGCTGGCTATGGCTGGGCCTGGACCAACCTGCTAGGAGCCTGTGCTCAGCATCCAGACTCACTTAGCGGAAGTGAAGTGTGAAGAAGAGCAGACTTCACAGTTTTAAGATCTACCTTATGTTTCTTCAATGCATTTACGTAGTGTGTGAAAAAGAAGAAAAACCCCCCAAAATCCTCACCCTCCTGCCTTGGCATAAGCTGAGACTTTGGAAATTGCAGCTGTGGGTTTTAAGCAATGGTTCTAGATGTTTGGATTTCATGGGACAGAAAAATTTCAGCAACAGATTTGAATCCAGCACTGGATTTGCAACTTTATTTTGCCATAAGAACCTAAACACTTAAGCAAACACATAGTACTATTCCTATCCTGTCATAAAGGAAAGGGCATTTTAACTCCAAGAAGGGAGTTTGAAATTTTGAAAAAGAACAAGACATTCTCCATCTTGTCCTTTTCCTTTTCAACAAGAAGTAGTTAAGGTTTGATCATGGACTGGCTCTGGGATTCTGACACTCATCTCTTCTGAGCAGAGTTCAGTTTTTAAAGGAAAAAGCCATGTTGGTATTAGTCTGAAAACACATATATTTTAACATTGATAGTTGTTTATGACTACGCAATGTTGGAGCTTAAAGAAGTACCAGCCAGCACCTGGAATTTCCCAGTCAGCAGAAAAAGAAACCAAAGTGCAGGGAGAGAAAATAATGACCTAGACTGATGAGGAACAAACAGGACTGGGTGACTGACCCATATCAGAACAGCAAAAATGTCAAGGCAGACAGGACTGCCCGAACTTGAATTCCATGCACCTGTTAGTCCTCCCTGCCCGAATATCCCAATGACTTGGTTGCCCAAAGAAATCCTGAAGAGCGCATAAGTAAATTCAGGGCAGTCTGTCTTCTACAATAATCCTCACACAGCAAGGTAAATGGCCACTTTATAAGTGAGGACTTTAGAATGAAGGGGCTTTGAAAGAGCCTTCAGTTAGGTCCATTATTCTTGAATTTGGAAAGATAAAATTTTACTGCCAACTTTCAAAATACACCTTTTCCCCTAGAGAATTATTAGTGATGCTGTCTCTTGAAGAAGGAAGAACGAAGTAGAACTGATTTATGGGGAGCTGTGTGTGTGTGTGTGTGTGTGTGTGTGTGTGTGTAGAGACAGTTCTAGGTATAAATTCCAGGGTAAAAATTGAATACTTTTCCTGATTCAATAAAGCAGAACTTCCCGATTCAATGAAGCAGATTCACCATTCCTGTGCTTTATCCCCATAGATAGAGAAAAACAAAACTTTGAAGCCAGTCAGCTTGAGTTCAAATCCTGGCTTTACCATTTATTTGTTATGTAGCTTTAGCTTAAGTGACATAATGTCTTAGGGCCTTAATTACTTCACATGTCAACAGAATTGTTTGTGAACTTAAAAGATAGAGTGACTTAATATTATACACTATGTAAATAACATGGTAAAAACAAAATGATGCTTGGTTCATAGATGATACTAAAAACATTCTTCTCCCTTGGCCACCTCTGGTTCATGTTGACAGAACATGAACAAACATCATAAACAAACACCTTTCTCCTTTATGCCACTGATGCATGAAAACTTTCATCTACAACCTTAAGCCTGTGATCACAGAATGGAATGTTGGGTCAAAGGATTAAGATGCAATCATGATTCTCTTACTCATCTACTTTGTGAGTTTGGAAGATCATGGAACCAGACAGTAAAAGGGATTTTTTTTATATCTTTCTTCAAATCTTAAGCCAGTCAGGAACTTTTTCCATTTACAATATGAAATAATCTGTAGAACAAATACATGATATCTAAAAATAACTTTGGCAACTTGGAAATAAATTTAAAAAAATACAGTGCATTTGGTTGCTAAGAGAAACTTTCTGCAGCTTTGGAGTAAATTAAAACATCTCAGGTCATTTCAAGCAATTAGTTCTCTATGACCAAGAGACTCATTGGATGAGAGCAAAAACAGACCTAAGAGTGTATCAGTTGATTCCAATCAAGGCCTTCCCTGTCCGCCTATCCCAGATGTGCACACTCCCTTATGTGCTCAGAAATATGTTGTGAGGGGAACATGAATTGATAGATTTATTGAGGGATCACTGACATATGAAAATTTGTTAATTTTTCACATGCCTATACCCTTGTAAAACCATTGCCACAATCAAGATGCTCAATTTATCCATGAGTTGTGGGGGCTTTTTATTGCCCTGGCAACTAAGAGATATTAGATATCAATGGCAGGGCCCAGGGCTGCCAGATCTCCTGAAATGTTTTCTTGTATAAAGAATTATCTCATCCAAAATAGCACCTCTGCTGAGAAACACAGGGTTCCCATCCCTTTGCTAATCCTTTGAAGAATCCGAGTCCAGTGAGGAAACTGAGGCAACCCCAACATAAGTTTCTTCTGTTTTCATGTAAATATACCTGGAATGTGTAGGTTAATTAAACAACCAATACAGCTGAAAATTCTAGGTCAGATTCAAATGTTTAATGTTGTGTTGACATTTGAAATGTATAAGTCATCTAAAATGATGTGCGAGAGTGGATGCCTCTGATTAAGGGACAGTCAGCAAGTTCCCCCTCCACATCTGCTGCAGCTACTGTGGATGAGTGACAGAGTGAAGGCCAGAGATGCAATTCCAGGTGTTTACAACTTTGGTTTCCTGCTCCTCAAGGAAAAGGTGAAAACATCATCATGCAGCAGGCTTATATAAATCATTCATAAACTAAGAGTGGAGTGAAAATATTAGGAAAATAAACTGCATTTTGTAGTGAACATGCACCGACATTCTTGCTGTTATTCTCTAAACTGTTTACATACTCTTACATCCTACTAGGTATTTTGAGTCATCTAGAGATGATTTAAAATATATGGGGGGAAGTATATAGTTTATACAAAAATACTATGCCCTCTTATTCTAGGATCTTGAGCATAAATGGATTTTGGTATCCATGGGTCCTCTGTGGATACTGAGGGGTGACTGTGGATACTGAGACTTGGTCCTCTGTGGATATTGAGGGGTGACTGTGCTTGGAAAGTGCCTTTAAGTACCTAACTGGTGAGACAACCTTAATTCTGTACTTCTTGTTGTAAATCTCTGATACACTGTCATGTTTAATTTAGTTAGTAGATGTAATTTCATATTTAAGGTATCAAGTTAAAATAATTTTGCATTATTTTTAGTTGTAAGAATTATATAATAACTCCAAGAACAAAATTTGTTATTACTAGTGTTAGGCCAGTTGTTCTCAAGTTTTTATGTGCTTAAGAAGCCCCAGGAGAGCTTGTTCAGATTCCTGGGCCCCCACTCACAGTGTGGCTGATTCAGTTGGTCTGGAGTGGAATCCAAGCATCTTCATATCTAATAAGTTCCAGGTAATGCTGATACTGCAGGTCTAGGGATTTATACCTTGGGCCATGCTTTCCCCAAGTGCCTGTCAATGGTTGGCCATGTTGATTGGACACTGAATAGAAGAGATTAGCAAGGAGCAGTTGGCCCTGCTGGGAGCAGTTGGCCCTGTTGGGAGCACCTAAGTGTGAGGAAGGATCACTCCTACCTTCAGCTATAATTGCCCACAGTGCCCTGAACTCACTTGTCAGCACCATCCCACTAAAGTCTTCCATGTCTCTTGTTCTTTGTAGCGAAAGAAAAAAAATAAGATTGAAATGTCTGGGTAGAGGCTCTAGAAGACCATGAGAACTAAGAACACCCTACAAACATGTTTACAAGAATGTTAAACCTAAAAAATTGTCCTAAAACATGACGATGAATTCATGATGATATGACTTTCAAGAGAAACAAATGTTATGAATACGTAATTTTTCGGAATGGTAAGTAGAGTGTTAAAGACAACACAGAGAAAGTTTCCAACTACAGACAGAGGAACAGCGTCACAGCAAACATTCTCTCTTAGTTCTTGGGATTGTTCATTTTCTGTCTGTAATCTTGTTCTTATTGGTGCTAGAGGACCCTAGAAAAGAAAACTTCAAAACTTCCAATGGCTTTGATTGGGCAAAGGGGAGGGAGGGTTGGGGAGGGTCATAAGGGGCAGGGACGATGGTGGAATGAGATGGACATCATTAGACTGTACATGTGGTGCAACTGTACATTGTGTACAACCAGAGAAATGAAAAGTTGTGCTCCATTTGTGTACAATGAATCAAAATGCATTCTGCTATCATATATAACTAATTAGAACAAATTAAAAATTTTCCAGTGGACCAACTTCATTCTATGCTAAGGGCATTTAAAGCAAAACTAGGCTTCAAAACTGACTTTGTACAACTTACGGGGTCCTTTCTGATTACACGGGAGTTACAGTACATTTACCTAAAGGCAATGGTATCAAGGTGCAGAGATAAATGTGCAAAAATCATTCTCTAGAGTTTCTAAAAATAAAGCAATGAGAACCCAACACTGGGGGTGTAAAAATGTCACTCTAGTTACTCTCACCCTGGACCAATAATAAATAACTAAAATGGCTTATTTGGAAGACAAATATTGATTTTAAATATAAATGTGTCTGAAAAGTCAATCCTCATAGCCTCCAAGACAAAATAATTTTCCCCCAAATTACTGAAGATCTTCTTTTTTATTTCATAGTTCATTTTCTTTGAAAAATTCTATCATCATGGTGACATTTCTAATATTATAAGGATTGCTTCTCCTCTTTCTTTACTAAGGTGGTAATGATCTTTAAATCTGTATGTATTTCTTTTATTGGAATGTAACAGACACAGCATAAATATACTTTAAGGATACAGTTTTATGGCATTAAGTACATTCACATTGTTGGGTAACCATCACCATTATCTATCTCCATATGGATTTGCTTTTAAACCATTGATTTTTTTTTCTCTCTTCAGACTGATAAATGCTAGAAGCAACATGGGTAATTTTGGTG